AGTTTGATCTTGTAGCAACACTCCTGTGGCATATGTGGACACCTGTGGGAGAGCTGTATGGCATTCCTGTGGGTAAACATGTTGGCAAATCTGAGTGAAGATTTGCTTCAAGTTCTCTACTGTGAGAGGCACAGTGAGCATGGGATAAATATTTATCCAGAATAAGAACCTCTGATACACAGTAATCTCTCTGCTATTACTTGCAGAGAGGTCATTTGCTGTAACAATAGTAGGTTTCATCCATGCTGAGAGCAAACTTATATATCGGCAGTGGGGATGAGTGACACCAAATGGTTCCTTATCTTTGCAAGAAAGTGTCATTAGTGTTATTCAGAGGTCTTGTGTTAATGCCTGCACTGGCTTACACTGACCTAGCCAGGGACTCATGTGCCACCATCCTATGATTTCAAGACATGATGACTTGGGACTGCAGATGCTAATTGGAAATGTCCTTTTTCAACTAATAGGAAGTTTCTGCTTTTCTACTCATTTTCATAGTTCCACAGTAATCAGGACAGAATAGTTAGAAATGATAGTGTATATGTGCACCACCCGATTTGGGTAATGGTGGCATTCCTAGTTTATTCCATTGATAAGTTTGGTTTTGGAGAGTTTAGTCCTAAGATTCATCCCCTACTATTTTGGCAGTTCATCTTAGGGGGCAGTTGTTGGATTCTTTTCCTTGGACCAACAAGCTCACTGACTGAAAGCCAACTGCCCAGCCTGTCCCAGCTCCCCCTCCATGCCTGCTCTCTGCCTGGCGAACCTTTCCCAGCTGGTTTGTGCCCAGCCAGAGCCCTGCTTTTCCTCTCGGTGCTGTGCCAAGAGGAACATTGCTGTGTCACCGTGGCTTGTCCTGCAAAAGGGGACAATCCCCATGGATCTTCTTTGAGGAGAGGGACTGGGTACCAGGCAGAGACCTGCTGTGGGATGTGAGCAGCCCCGTGCTGCTGCTCCCCTCTGTCAGCACAGTGCCCCACTGGACCCAGGCAGCCAAGCAGTGGCACAGCTGTGACTGTCCAACTCCGAACCTGCATGTTTTGTGGCTTCTAAATCTGCTCTCTTTCCCAAGCTTCGTTTGGGATGGACTGTCTGACATTAAAAAGAACCACCGTGGAAATAAGCTGCATTCCTAACAAATTTCAAGTCAATGCTAAAACAACCAGGGAATGAAATTCCTTAAATAAGCATTTGCCAGAATTCTTATATAGACAGAGTCTGTATTTTTCCCAGCCGTTGATCCTGGAAAGAGACTTTTTATTAATGGAGCTTTGGGCAGATGGTAAGTACTGCATAGGGCTAGGCTGTGAGGTATATGGAAGCAAAATCTTCATAATGAAGAGTTTTAATAGCAGATAATGCTGTTAACTCTAATGATTGACAGAGCTAACAACCAGCTTTTTTTTTTTTTTTTTTTTTAAAGTTCCAAACAGCTTTTTCTACTAACAGGACCAATTTTTTTTTTTTTGTTTGGATCCTACCAGGTTGTGTAAATAGGATTTTAAAACTTCTGTATGCAGTCCATTTTGAGGGGGAAAGAAATTGGGCACTGAATGTCTCACACCTATTCTTGATAATGCACCTGTTTTGATGGCTGGAAGGAAGTCACCTTTGGGTATTTGAGCTATCAGAAAGAACAGTTCCTAAATACAGTTTGTATGTGTAAACAGAAAAAGGAATAACAATATCTTCGCTATAATTGTAAACATAATCAGGAAGCTTCTTGTAGAAAATATTGCAGTGTTCAAGAGGCATCTGGATGACGTGCTGCGTGATGTGGTTTAGTGCTAGTGGTGGCAATGGTGATGAGGAGACAGTTGGACTAGATGATCTTATAGGTCGTTTCCAACCTTGTGATTCTATGATTCTATCAAGCCCTAAGTATTCATGGGGTAACTTCCATGTGTTGGCTTCTCTCTCTGATAGTCATACCTTTGGAATGGCTTGCCTGTGGTTACAGCCTGCTCTTGGATAAGGTGAGAAGACTCCTGGTAGCACTGTCCTTGTTTGTAACAACCTGAACCACGGATTCAGGAGCAGCCACAGCTGAACAGGAGGTGCCAGGGGCTGAGTGCTGTGCCCAGGATCCGAGACAGAGCCAGACGGGCTGCAGCACTCCAATGCTGAGGTTGCTGGGCTGGGATTCATTCCTTGCTCACTTGTTGCCTGGGAGACAAATACTATCCAGGGATTTTTTTCCTTTCTTGCTTGTTTTTGATTGGAGACACTATTGACTTTTGGCTTGGAGGAGGTAGTGAAGCAGCACGCCAAGTGTCATAAGATGGAAATTAATCACTAACGGATTGGTCTGAGTGATTGCAGTGATTTCCTTTCCTGTGACTGCTCTGTGTATGGAAGACTAATGACACATCTTCAAACAGCTAACAGAGCTGTTCACACCTCGGGCTATCAGGAAGGAGTCTTAACCAGGGGACACTTCAGTTTTCTTTGTGTTTCTGTCTGTTGTGTGATGGTGGAAGAGCAAAGGTAAATATCTTAAAAAAGGAACTTTGCATGGCTGGGGAGCTTTGTTTTAAATTGTGTTTATTGTTGCTCCTAAATTATAAATCAGCTCAGCTGCAGTGAAAATAGGGCAAAATATATTAGCAAAAAAATACAGCACTGCCTTCTCAGTGCTTCTTCTAAGAAGAATACCTTCCCAATCTCTTGAGTGAGAGTTTCTGTTTTCCAGTGAGGTTATTTTTGGCTTTCACAAGAATATCCGCAAGGCAAACAAATGCAGCATGGCAGCAGTGCCTGGTTTGAAATCAGCCTTTAGCAGTGACCTCACCATGTAAACCCCTCAATTTGTGCTCGCTCCTGGGGGGCTGAGGGAGATCACGGCCAGGTAGATGACTTGGATGAAAGGAAAGAACACAGAGGCTTGGAAACAGCATGTTGTGTTCCAGCAAGTACAAGTACACAGGGTGGTGTTTAAGTGTAGCGTTTTTAAAGCTTGTCCCATGCTGTAAAGAGTAAGGAATCCAGCAAAGGCTTACTCCTGAAGAAAATGTTCCTAGCTTTGCGTGTTGCTTGCTTAAAAGGAAAATTTGTGGTGTTCTTGCTCTGCCTCTTGGATGGAGCATGGAAGTGGAATTTGAGAGATTTGGATTCTATTTTTGAGTCTGTCCTTTGCCTAAAAGGTCACTTCCTAGGCTTACCATGCCAAGACTGGCTTATTGTCCCACATTCGAGAGCTAAACATCACAGGCTCTTGGCTACAGACTGGTGCGAGGCACTGGGCACACAGCTCCCCATGACACTGTGGTGGGTGTTCAGTCACCTGCACGGTGCCTGGCCCGGGCAGCAGCCCCAAGGCCTGCTCCTCCTGGAGCCTCCAGGCCCTGCAGGCCCAGCCTCTCCCTGCACTGTCTCTCTTGGGCCACTTGGAGCCTTCTGGCCAACTGCTGCCAGCCCAGAGGCTGGCCAGCCAGCAGCTGCTCTCCCAGCTCCCAGTTCCCTGCAGAGCCTGGTTCCTTGCCCCCTGCAGGTGGGTTTGGCTTTGAATGAAGGCCATGACTCGGGCAGTGCTGTGGGCTTGTGAGGTGCTCCCACATAGCAATCCAGTGAGGCTCGGGAAGTTTCTTTCTTATTTTTCTAGTTTTGTTTGCAGGGTGGCTTCTGTGCAGATGTGCAGCCTGTCAGCTTGGAAGGAGCTGTGCAAGCACTAAGTGTATCCCACTGTGTGTCCTGAAGCCCCCATAAAGCAGGGCAGCATTTAGGGGCTGTAGGGCTCTTTCTCCAGAGGAAACGGGTGTTGGGTTTGTGCCCTCCTTCTGGCTTTAGAAACAGTCTTCTTCATTCAGTCTCATCCGTGGTGTGTGTGTGTGTGTGCTGGCTGTTGGACATGGGAACACCAGAATCATAGAATGGCCTGGGTTGAAAAGGACCTCAAAGACCATCTAGTTTCAACCCCTTTGCTGTAGGCAGGGTTGCCAGCCAATAGACCAGGCTGCCCAGAGCCACATCCAGCCTGGATATTCAGGAGCTGGAGCTCAGCAAAGAGTGCCCTGGGCTGGGGCACACACGGGGATGGAGTACAGCCTCTTCACTGGCTCCAAAGCATGCCAGCGTTTGCCAGAAACACATCCTTAATGGCCTGAGAGCTTCATGAGGAGCTCTGTCCATATTGAGAACTGCTGCTGGTGTGATATGTTCTTCAACAGGGCTGCTATGATCTGCCTGTGCGCTCTCAGTGCAGCCTAGCAAGAGCTGTACTCTGTGCATTTGAACAGCCCTGGGTGTCTGTCCCAACCTCCGCTGGGCCGAGGGCTGCAGTGGTGCTGAGTGGCAGCGTGGCCTTCCTGCTGCAGGCTGCCAGCTCCATGTGTTCCCTTGCGTCCGGGAAGGGCTGTGGCAGTCACTGCTGCTGGAACCACTAACTCTGATTTCACAACACCCCGACATGGTTTAAGATCTGGTTTTACAGTTTTGTTTTGTTTGGGGTTCTAGGGGTGTTTTTTCTTTCCTTAGGGGAGAAAAGATGATTAATTTCTTGTAGTACAATGGCACCAATGTCATGTGGCTGAAGGATTAAATCCTTTTATTTTTAAAACAGTTGCTAGGGTGTTTAAACCACTCCTTTTCAGCTCTGTTTTTCGTTAGCATAGCAGCACAAAAGGAAAATAAAATCACTTTGAAAAAAGAATCAGCTTCTCTTCAAAGTTTCCATCTACCAGTAATCGTAGCTTTGTGTTGTTCCAGTATAGGGTAACGGGGAAATTGCCAGATGCCATTAAATCGTATTAACTAATAAGGGGTGGTGGGGAAGCAGCCAAACATGCGTTCTTGTTTCTTTTTTTTTCCCCCACGGAAGTGTGATTTAAACCATAGTCACAGTATTTATTAATGGAGCGATATCTCTGGCGGGCAAACTGTGTTCACCGCTGTCAGACCAGGAACCCAACCCACTGCTATCCTGACAACTACTGCTAAATGAATGAGGCTGTGCCATTAGATCAAATATTTGATTTTTTTTTTTAATTCTTTTTTCTTTGCAGAGTATTGGAAAGGGGTCCTTGTGGTGTATAGACCCAGAATATAGACAAAATCTTATTCAGGCTTTGAAAAAGACACCCTATCACCCATACTCGCATGTGTTCAATACACCTCCCACATCTCCTCAGGCATATCAAAGGTAAGACCTAGATGATTTTACAACTCTATTTTCCTGCAGCTGCCTGTGGCGCGGGGCAGGCACGCGGTGGCGCCGGGCAGCCCCGGGGATGCCACGACCCCACGGGGTGCGGGGGCACCGCTTCGTCCCAGCCCGGGGCCGCGCGTGGGGCTGTGGGCGCCGGTCGTACCGGGCGACGGTGCCAGCTCGGGGCACGGTGCCCCTATCGGGCCGGAGCGGGGCCCGGCACCTCGCCGGGGCCGAGTAGCGGCCGCGACGGCTCCCGCAGGGCTCCTCCGAGCCCCTCCCGGCGCCGCGCCGGGGCCGCGGCTTGCCGGAGCGGGGCTGCCGCCTTCCCTCGCGCCTATTGGCGCGCCGGCTGCCACGGCAACGCTGCGTTTCCACGGCAACGCGTAGCCCGGCAGGTGCGGCGGCGGCGCGGCCGAGCGTTGCCTGGCGAGGGGACGGCCCCGGGCTGCGCGGCGGTTGCCACGGAGATGGTAATCCTGCCTAGCAACCGCGCGGCCGGAAGTTCGGGGGGCCCGCGGCCGGCGCGGCGCTCCGCCCGGCTCGGAATGATGTGTGTTATTTTTTTCTCCTGTTCTGACATGAGCTCCCGGCTGGGGCGAGCAGCCGCAGCGTGGGCACGATGCTTCGCGGCTGCTTTGGGAAACGTTTTCCACGCGACCGCCATCCCAAGAGGCTTTCACTGCTCCTTTCCCGCACACCCCCACGATCTTGATCTCAGCCGAGTAACGTGAATGATGGCGTTATGCCTGTAACCGTGGGGATGGACACGGTCTGTTTCCAGAGCCTGCCTTTGTCGGTTGCATTGCATTTCAGGAGTATTTCAGTGGTGCCCATTTGGATCTGTTCAGAGGCTCCTGCATCAAGTAACAGTGCAAGGCCAGGCAGTGCACAGTGTGGGGATGCCGATCCCTTCTAACCCCCCAGTGGAACGTCCCCAAAAACACACACAGCTGGGAGCAGGGGATCACAGTGCTTGCTGGGGAGCTGCTCTGTATGGAAGATCGTGGGGTCTCGCTCTTGTTTTTGGTTGAATATCATTGAGCAGTTCCACTGTCAAATACAGTTTAATCCTCCTGTGGCCCTCTGAAATACCCATTTAATCACCTACCAGTGACTGTGGAGCATCAGCACGAGGCTGATGCTGGCTATCAGTAGCTGTTGAATTGTTTTCATTATTGGCAGCTACATGGCAAAGTCATTTTTTGGTATATATTTCTGATATGTTTGCAAGAAGCTGGATGTTCCCCATGTGTTTAGGAAAAACTAATCCCATATGTGTGTGATTGCTTTCTCATGTGTGGAAAAACTTCAGTAATGGATAGAAAAATGTAAATCCGCTCTGCCATCATCATATCTCCAGAGCAATACATTGTCATAGTAACAAATTCCAGGGGAAATTCTTCTGATAGCAGAGATGATAGGTTTGGAGAAATCCTTGGGTGGCAGAGCTTTGTCACTATCCATCAGTTTTACGTAGCTGAAGGCCACGGTAACAGAAACTGTGTTTGAGATATGAATGAAAAATATCTGGAACAGGAGGATTCACCAGTATTGGAGCGCCTCTAGGAGCTGGATTAATCAGGGGGAATTACAAGGTTTATGAGGATCGGTTGCTGCGATGCCACAGAGGCAAACCAACCTATTGCTTGTCTTTATCAGATGTTTTGGAAGAGTAAGGATACACAGATTAATCACATGTTCAGTTTAGTATCTGCATAAGCAGCTTAGGGTGAATTGAGCATGGAGTGGAGGAATGTATTGTAAAAATATCCCAAGCAAGATGGTCACCAAATGCACAAGCACTCCTGCTCTGTACTGAGAGTTAATTCCAGCAGATAATTTAGCTTTACAGCTCCTGTAGAACACCCTGCATAAACACAGCAGAGAAGGCCTTTTATGAAGGAGTTTTATAGTGTGAATCCACACATTTAGGTGGCTGACTCAGTATTGTACTGGTGTCATTATGATTAGATATCTTACTCAAACCAGGAAGTTTGGATTACAGTGGGAGCCATGGAGAGAAGGCTGTAGTTACGGGGAAGAAAAACAAACTTGCAGTGTTTGTACACAAGAAGGAACTACAGGCTGCTGTTATCTGGTTGGCTTCTGCTTCTTGGAGGGTGAAGAAAGTTATCAGTAAGCTCTAAGAGGAAGCGTATAGTAATGCAAATTATTTCTTTGTGATTGGATTGGATGTGTGTAAAAATCAAAAATCATGCTGTTAAAAGAATTTTTTTTCTAATTCTTCTGATTGAAGCATATTTCATGTCATGTATGAGGAATTTCAAGGATGAACTAACGCTCTGATACACACTGTGATAAAGGAAAAACTCTCTGCTGGGTGTGGAAAAATAGGTGCCTTAGTCCAAGGGCTATGATGTGTTTCTTTTTAAATATTTACAGTTGTGTTGGCAATAGCAACCTTGAAATGTATTTATAGACACAAGCTTTGTTAAGTAACTATGCAAGACAGCGCCCGGATTTTTTATCTGCATGTTTTACCTTTGGTTTTCTGTCTCTTATTTGACTGTATGTGTGATTTTTCTCTTTTGGTGGTACTCAAAGATCTTGAAATGGACTTTTCTCTGAGTATGTTGCAGCAGGAGAATTCTCAAATTATTTTCAGCAGCAGAAGGAGAAATATTATCAGGAAATGTGAAATAACAGAAATTATTAGTTTCACATATGCATGATATTTTTGCAGATTTTGATGACTTCTGGGAACGTTGGTTAGATCACTTTATAGACTGTATGATGTGTAGAGCGTTTTTCTCTCCTTGTCATTTTTCCAGTCTGTTTCGCTAATTGCTGTTTGCTAAACCAGTGGTGAGCATTGGCACACTGGGCTAAGCTGCCGTCTAACTGGTGAAATTGCAGACGGGTCTCAGATGAGAACCATGGTGCATTTTCTCTTCTGCATTGCCCAGCCTACCTGTTGAGAACCAGCATCTGGTCCTGGTGTGTGCCTGTCCCACAGAGCTGCTTGGCTAGCGTGGCTACTGTGCAGTGTGTGAGCAGGCTGCTGGGTTCCCAGCCCCTTCGGGGGCACGGAGATTGATGAGGAGTGGGCAGAGCCCCCTCTGCCGCAACTGCCTTCTGTGCAAAGTCACTTTTCAGAATGCGTGCTGAAAATGGTGCTGCTGCTAGAACTGATCCCTTTCCTTTCTTGGAAGTGCTGATGCAGGAGTAAGTTTATGGCTTATAGAGGGCTTGGAGGTGTGCTAGTGATCAAACATCTCACGAAACTTCACCAGTTGGGTGTTTGAAAACTGGGGAGTGGCTTGGGGTTAGTGTCTCTTATCACTGTTGCCTTCTGCAGATGATGGCTTTCCTAGACATGTTTCCTCCATAAATGCTCATCACCTCTCCGGTGCCTTGCTCTCTGGTATCTGATAAGGGTGTTTTTATTCTCTGCCCCATATTAGTACCACTTCAGTCAGAGACCTGTGCCAACAGAGGTGTTCTCTGAATAACAGCTTCCAAAGGAGCCCGGTGCCAAGCAGCACAGCTGTGTGCTCAGCAGCTGGCAGGAGCCATTCGTGGAGGGTGTGGGGCTGCTGCAGGGCCTCCCACCACCTCTGTGTCAGAAACTGCGCCTCTCCACACACAGGCGTTTGTGAAACACCACTGCTTCTTCAGGCTACTGTAAAATTGATGTTGTGTGCTGTGGGTTTCTTGTATTTAGGCTAAGATAACCGCACTCCATGTGCATGTGTCTTGCTGGGCTGAATGAGCAGCAGCAGTGGCACGTTGAGCCATGGCCGCACACATTTGCCATGCGGCGCTGGGTGCTCTGCATTTGGGCGGCTTGTGTGGGAGAGGGGCTTTGACATTGTGAGCGCCTGTTTGACTTCTGAAATGTGTTAAAAAGGTGCAAGAACTGGTCAAACTTTGATGTCAAGTTTCTGTTACTTTTATCTCTGTAAGCTGGTTCTGCTCAGTTGTTCTGCCCAGGGAGAAGGTTCTCAAACACTTCCACCTCAGGCTCAGGCCCAACCAACACTACAGCCAGTGGGGCTGGAGCTGAGGCTGCTGGTGGGTATTACTAGCTCTTTGGTGATTTGTCATCTTGCCATGAAAATTGTTTCCCCATACTCCACAGACTGCTGTTGTAGATCATCTGCTTAGAAATGTACCTCGGAACCAGTCCTTGCAGTTTTTGCAGGTTTTGGCTTTACTGCTCCTTCCCTGAAACTGTCGTAGGTTTCAGCCTTTACCATTGTTTATTGAAACTAAACTTGCATCAGAGGCAACGCATTGTAGGATATCATTCAGGACAGCGTATAAGCACTCTTTTTTTTCTGTATGCTTTATGTTTTGAGATGAGAAATGCTCTTTTCTGGCTATTTGGGGAAGATGATGAAATAAACTTGTCCTATTCATTGAGTGCTTTGAAATGCTGAAAGAGTCTCTCTGCTAGAAGGGATCTGGGGAATAAATTAATTGGTAGTCCTTTGCGGTCTGGAGGCACAGCTTTAATTCTCTGTTACCGGTTTTACTTTTGGTAGGAAATGAAGCTGACCATAGCACAGTCTAATATTTCTGTGTATGCCACAGCCTCTTACCATGATCGATCCTGTTATTTCACTTCCTGAACAGAGTCTGAAAGAGTTTTCTTCTTTGGTGCGGTGTCAAAGCAGAGTCTTTGGGGAATTTTGTTTTGCTGTATCTGTAGTTTAGAGATCACAAAAAATACAAATTCCAAGCTTTGCCCTCTGACACAGTAATATGTCTTGATTTGAAGATCCATCTGTGTTTTGAGACTATGCTGCTTGATGTCTGTTTTCTGGCAAATTAAAGAACATTGGTTCTGCTTGATGCCAGACAGGAATAACAAAGAAAAAAGAACTTTTGCTTGAGTGAATGCCTGTAATGCGCTCAGTGCATAAATATTTCAGGATTTGCCAGTCCAGGACTTGTTTTCTAACGTATTTAATCAGCTCTCCATCCAGTAGATTATTGTGGTATGTATCCCATTGGCTGTCATTTTG